TTCAATCAAATCAAATTTATTAATCACATTTAAATTTTTTGTTTCATACATGATGAGTTGTGTAAGATTTGGTTTTGTTAAGAACAAAACCACAGGCCCCAAATGGTGTCACTTTAAAATTTACTTAGTTGAATTTTGGTATTTAACTGTTCAAATTAGGCTAAGGAAATACTTCCGTTTGAAAGACTGCTTCCTACCTCTTCAGAGAGGACACACTGGAGACGAGAATAGCCATTTCTCCTGTAACCATAGGAAGAGGCTGAGTTTTCATCAAATAGCCTAACGTGTAGGAAGTGGGTTTATGGGATCAGAGTGCATGTGTCCTCTACCCCCCTTCCCCATTAGGTAAAGCTGGGTCTGATGTGTGCTAACAAGGCCCGGCTAACCCTGTGCCTGGCTTGTCCTTTTCTCCCACATTACAGAATTCTGCCTCCTACAAGGGAAGCATGGTGGCTTTGAGCTCGAGAGAAGTGGCTCTGTCTTCATGGACCCTCTGCCCTTTCAAGAGTTTGCATCTGGGGACATGCCAGATGCTGGGCAGGGACCATCTGCCCTGGATTGGCCGTTGAGTGTTTTAAAACAAGGTATTGCCAGCAGGGTTGGGTGTGGTGAGCTGATGGCTACTTGCACTGCGCTGCAAGAGGTGATGTGGCTGGCCTTCATGGTCGAGGACTCCTTAGAGACTTAATGGAGAACAGAGAGGACAATGCCTCCAAGTGGGACATAGTCCACTCAGCAGGATGCACCTCAGTGGGATCTTAGGGAACCTCAGGTCTTAGGTGCCATGTTTTGAGGAAGGGGTGGAAGACTGAGGACTGAGAGGGCATTTTCTTTCATTTTAACCATAGAAGGCTTGCATTAAAAATAGCTAGTCAGCAACAAAGAGAGGGAACCCCAAATTTGCATCTGTTTCGTGATATTCCAGCCTTCACTGCCAACACAGGCAAGGCTTTGTCAGCATTTTGAAATGCTCTCTTGGGGGCTCTCTGTCCACATGGCTTGAAGCACTGCAGTGCCATGGCATCCGGTGAGGAGGAGGGGAGTACCTGGGACGTGCCTGCAGCAGCTCCTTTTATTCTCCGTAGCGTGTTGTGTTTTAAAAAATTGGCTTTTCTCGTGGTGGTCTGGGGGGGGGTGGGGGAGCGCAGTGTATGTCAGGAGAGGAAACAGGCAAGGAAAAGGTGAAACACACAATCAGGAAAGAGCTTGGTAAAAAGAGCTAGGAGCAGCTCAGAATATGGTCTGGCTGGGACGATAAGATTCTTACCTGTGGGGCTTTGGTGAGTCCCAAACCAGAAGATGCTTCTGTTTCTGTAGCAAAAGTGCCAGTGTTGGAAGAAATGGCAAGGAAGGCCCAATCTTAAGATGGGGCGTCCCCATTCTCTGCTTCTTTGAGATGGATGATTGGGTGTGACTTCCAGCTGCCGTTTCAGCACTGCTATGGGTTAGAACCACAGCAGAGCGGCCCCGCAGCTTTGAACTGTGCTACAGGGAAGTGACGAGACAGGTCGTGGGCTGCAGCTTCCTTATAATTTCCTCTCCACCAGTCCACCCTGTCTGTTGGCCATTCTAGTCAGCCTGGGGTGGAATGGGATGGGTGGGCCTGTGAAACAGGAGTAGGATGGGGGGCAGCCTGGCCTTTGTGCCCTCAGACTCCAGACCAACCAGGAAAGCTCTTCTCTCTAGGCTGGCGTGGCAAAGACCCATCTGTGTTCATAGGGAAGTTTTTGAATATGTCAGGGACTGATGTGACCTGTTCTCTCCATGTGGCTGACAGCTGTGTGATGGAATTTGCCATCAGCAGACGTGTAGTACATTATGTATTAGTATGCATCCCTGCATATGAAAGCTGTGGTTTATCAAATCTTGCTTGTAAATCCCCACTGGGCTTAATTTACTAGAAGTGTTTCAGTGTCTTAAAAAAAAAAAGATTTAAGGAGAGAGCCTCAAGCATCCTGCAGAGGATGTGCATAACCTAGCCAGATGGGCCTGTGTGCCTGTTCTCCAGGATGGGTGAAGAATAATGAGTGGGAAAAGTGGAATGGCTGTGTTTGCCATGAAAACAGGGTGTCAGACTTTGAGAAGCAAGCATTAAATATTAAAGGATAAAAAAACTGCATGGTGTTAGAAGAAAGAACATGGAAAATAATGGCCTTTGGATTTCTATGGCTGTGGAGCCCTGTAAAAGCACTGACTGGTTAGTAATTCAGCCTGGATAACTTACTTCTCTAGAAATCATGCTAAAGAGGGGTCTAAATAATTGATCAGACTTTTCCAGGATAATAGACATAATGTTTAGTGAGTCATCAGAACAAAAGAGTGAAGTCGGAAGCAGATCTGGGCAGCCCTCTCGCTTGTCTCTTTTCGTCCCCCTTGTTTCTGGTTGTTGAAAACGTGCAGGGCGGTAGCCAGCTCGAGGCCTGACTTGAGGTCCACGACTGGCCCTGCTCAGGGGAGTCCCCCGTCTGGAGGCGTGCACGGCGGTCCTGACGCGGGGCGCACTGTGCCTTCACAGCCACTCTGCTCTTGGAGAGGAACTTCCATCCCTTTGCGGGGCTGCCGGAACAGCAGCAGACAGCACTGAACAATGTCTTCCAGGCGGTCCTGTCTGACGAAGAGTCACTTATGGCCCTGGAGCAAGTGGTAAGACCAGGGACCTCTCGAGACTGTTTCCACCTGGGTTTCCGGGAGATGTGGGCAGGCTAGACCTCTTGGGATAAAGCTGTGAGCTGGGATAAGATTGTATTTGAAATGTCCCCACCTCCTTTAAACCTTCAAGCTTCTTTTTTTCTAACTCCCAGGTCCTTAGTGTTCTAACCGAAGAAAGGTGGTTGATGTCAGGAATTGAAGGGTAGATTGGTTCCCTAAGGGCTGTTGGAACAAGTTACTACAAACTCTGTGGCTTCGAACAACAGAAATTTATTCTCTTAGAGTTCGTTCTGGAGGCCAGAAGTCTGGAGCTGAGATGTCAGCAGGGCCCTGCTTCCCCCACAGGCTCGGGGGTGGGGTGGGGGGTGGAGAACTCTTCCCTGCCTCTTCCAGCTTCTGGTGGCTCCTGATGCTCCTTGGCTTGTGGCCACACTGCTCCAGTCTCTGTCTCCCCATGCCTCTGTCCTCTGTGTCAGTGTCCTCCCCTTTTCTCTTAAAGGACACTCACCATTGGATATAGGGGCCCACTCCAGTCTAGGAGCATCTCATCTTGAGATCCTTACCTCAATTATATCTGCAGACTCTTACTCCTACTCCAAATAAGGTCATACTCTGAAGTTCCAGGTGAACATATATTTGAGGGCCATGATTCCACCCCACTACAAGGGGGCTGTGTGGTAGAGTCCAATAAGTCAACTTATTCTATTTAGAATAGGTTAAAAAGCAGGCCTTTATATTTTTCTGTTTTGTAGCAGAAGGATTTTCTGGGAAGGTTGAATTCCTTAACTGTTATTTGTACAAATGGTGAGGGACACACCAGCTGCCCACCTGCCAGACTTTGTACTCTCCTTTGTTAAGGGGGCTGGGGCACTATTAAGATGATTTATATGATAGCTTTTTGTTTTATTTTGTTTTTTTTGTTATTCTATTATTCAGAGTTGTTGAACTCTGATTTTCTGATTCAGTGCTTAATGGTTTCCAAGAGAGCATTCAGTTATTTTTCCCTCTTGCAATTGGATTGTGCCAAAAGAGTTTAGCTACCAGTGATGGAACCTGCAATTGTTGAAATAGTCCCAACAGTCCAGGAGATCTGGGGTGTTCTGGAGGATGTGAAGCTCACAGAAGGGTGTGCTAGCCCCAGGGAGAATACAAATGTTTCAAAAAGCCCACTGATTTATACTTCCTAAAATAGCTCCTTCCAAGAGGGAAATCTCAGACCAGTCCCCTTTGGAAAGAACATCAACTGCCCTGTCAGGTGCAGGAGCAAGCTGCTCAGGTGGTGTGGGCTGGTGGGCTCGTTTATGAATGCATCTGATGTGGAGGTTACAATGGAGACGAGCTCACTAGGTGGTCCTGAGCTGGCTGAGGTGGCCTTCACTGGCAGGGCCACCCACCTCCCAGCAGGCCCAATGTAGATGGCTGAGGCTGCCTTGGGCCCAGCTGGGAATGTGGCTGGGGGCTGGTATGCTAAGTTAAAAGCTGGAGAACCATGATGGGACAATGCTTTATGTTCCCTTCCTTAGTTCTGCATGTAGTCACCTATTCCTGGTTCCTGGTACAACCTGACAGACCCTGCCTTGTCCTGGAAGGTTCTATCCATAGTTCCCTGCATCCGTCCTCCCCTCTCTTTGAGAGAATAGTACCTGGCAAGGCTGTTTACTCTCTCCTTATGAGAGATTAGTGATTTCAAAACAGAAAAGAATGCAGGGTTTTGCTTTTCTTGTGAGATAGTGGAAGGGTAAGCGGTTGCATGTCGTGGGGCAGAGGCTCAGCTTGGCCTCTGGCTTTACTATGTCTGTCTCTTTTCTCCTCTCCCTGCAGTGTGAGGATGTGGTGAGCGGCCTGTCACCCCCACTGGCAATACTGGGGGAGCTGAAGCCCCCACAGCAGCAGGACGTCATGGCTTTCCTATGTTTGGTGGGGTACGGAGTACGGGGTGGGTGTCCAGGCCTGGCGGATACACTCAGCAACCAGAAGCTCTTTTCTACAGCCTACTTCTTGGTCAGTGCCCTAGCAGGTATGGAAAAAGGAATGCTGTTGCTGCTCTGAAATTGCTTTGCTTGCTATTGTGGAAGATTTGGTACCTGTGGTTTCCTCCCTTTCAGCAGTATAGGGAGGGTCAGTGGAAGGCTGAGGAAGCTTTTATGATTGCCGTGAAAAGTCAGACTCGTGTGACACCAGCCTCCTCTGTTCTCTCAGAGAGCATGTCTCTCTCCTCCTCCGGGGAGGGCTGTCAGCGGGCACACACCCTCAGCAGCACAGGAAGGCTTCTCCTCAAACACAGCCTGCGGTTCACACTTGAGCCTTGACACTGCTGCGTGGCAGTGGCTTTCATTGGGCAACGGTTCTCTCCCCTAGTGTTTCGGTACTTCTGGTCCTCTTTATAAACTCATTGGCCACTTTGTGGCCATTTGGGCAGGGAGACTGTGGAGAGCATCCTGATGCACTAGGATGCTGGGCCCAGTCAACACAGCCTCTACCCTGATCCTGAGATGGCCCTCGCAGGGGCATGGCCATGAAGTTATCACTAACTACCAGTGGACCCCGCCCTGCCACTCCTCTACCACTGCCATCCATAATTCACCATGCCAGAGAGGCTGCGGTATCAGAAGGTAGCCACTCTGTGTAGGCTTTCAGTTCCTTCAAGGAAAGGCAAGACCTGGCCCATCAGCCCAGGATCCTTTTCCCCACAACTTCCCTTCCTGGTGATATTATTAGAAGTGTTGAGTTCAGGATGCATTCATGGTTCCTCCCTAGCACCACAGAGGAACAGAAGCCAAGCAGATCTTCAGTTTTTTAAAAATTAATCATAGAGGATCCCTCTCTTAGCTCTACATGCTGATGAATATATGCTCTTGTTCTAAGTCATGGATAAAAGTTTTGGCTGGGACAGGACATAAGATAGAGGCCTGTGGAACCCCACTAGAGAACCTTTCCCCCCTGATGTTAACATCAGTGTACTAGAGGTTTTAAATACAGTCATTCTGTCAGGGGCTAACCCACTGGCCAGAATTTTCCAGCATGTGAAGGGCCTTTTCTTCACATACCATATTACTTATTGAAATATTTCTATCAATAGGCTAGTTCAGAAGTGATATGAAATATGCAGTATATGTCTGACATCATGAATGCCTCACAGTCCCCTGCTCCTTGAAACCTGGACACAGGTTCAAATTCTCTGCAACCTTGCACATAGGGAGCCGTTGGGAGTTGACCCATAACATGAGATTTGCTGTTTCTGAGCTGGAAGCTTGGGGGTAGTGGAATCTTTAAGTGCAGCTGAAAATATCTAGTCAATTTCTGAACCAACAATGCCCTCTTGCATCTCTCTGAATTGATATCTCATTTACATGTTGGTCACTGCAGAGGTCAGATCAGCTCTTTCATTGTAAAGCCCTTCCAAGTGTTCCTGCTAATCCTCTGCCCTTCTTTTTTTCCCAATATATATATTTTTAAAAGATTTTATTTATTTGAGAGAGAGAGAGAGCACATGAGAGGGGGGAGGGTCAGAGGGAGAAGCAGGCTCCCTGCTGAGCCGGGAGCCCAATGTGGGACTCGATCCTGGGACTCCAGGATCATGACCTGAGCCGAAGGCAGTCGCTTAACCAACTGAGCCACCCAGGTGCCCAATCCTCTGCCCTTCTGAGTTGACCTTTCCCTCTTGTAAAAACAGTCTTCTCTCTTTAGAACCTGGGGAAAATGCTGGAACAGAAAATGGCCTCTCCTTGAGTCCTGTCTGCAGCTTTCTAAATAGTAACACCAGTTACCAGCTTTATAGTGCCTAACTTTTAAAAAGAGATAAAATTTACATCATATTAGTTTTAGGTGTACCACAATTCCATATTTGTATACATTGTAAAATGATCGCAGTATGTCTAGTTAATACATAGTTACAAATTTTTCTTTCTTACAAATTTTTTTCTTATGAGAATTTTTAACATTTATTTTTAGCAACTTTCAAATATACAATACAGTATTGTTAACGATAGACATCATGCTGTACATTACATGCTCATGATTCACTTTTTTAATAGCTGGAAGTTTGTACTTTTAACCACATTCATTCATTTCCATCTTTCCCAACCCCCCACTTGCCTCCTCCTTCTGGAAACCCTCAATCTGTTCTCTGTATCTATGAGCTTTTTTTTTTTATTTTGTTATGTTAATCACCATACATTACATCATTAGTTTTTGATGTAGTGTTCCATGATTCATTGTTTGTGTATAACACCCAGTGCTCCATGCAGAACGTGCCCTCCTTAATACCCATCACCAGGCTAGCCCATCCCCCCACCCCCTCCCCTCTAGAATTCTGTTTGTTTCTCAGAGTCCTCTATAAGCTTTTTGTTTATTTAAAGATTCTACATATAAGTGACATCATGTGGTATTTGTCATTCCCTGACCTTTTTCACTTAGCATAATGTCCTCAGGGTCTGTCCATATGTCACAAATGACAAGATTTCCTTCTTTCCTTCCTTTTTCATGGCTGAATAATATTGCACTGTATATACACACATTTTCTTTATCCATTCATCCATCAGTGCTTCCAAATCTTATTTTAAGTAATGCTGCAGTGAATGTGGGGGTGCATATATAAATTTTCTGAGGTTGGTGTTTTTATTTTCTTCAGATACTTATCCAGAAGTGGAATTGCTATATCATATGGCAGTTCTAGTTTTAAATTCCATACTGTTCCATAGTGGCTGTACCAATTTACATTCCTACCAATAGTGCACAAGGATTCCCTTTTCCCCATATCCTCACCAACACTTGCTATTTGTCTTTTTGAAAAATAGCCATTCTAACAGGTGTGAGGTAATATCTCATTGTGATTCTGATTGGCATTTCTCTGATGATTAGTAACATTAAGCACCTTTTCATGTACCTATTGGCTATCTGTAGGTCTTTGGAAAAATGTCTATTCAGATCCCTTGCTCATATTGATTAGATGGTTGGGGGATTTTTGTTTGTTTTGCTATTGAGTTATAGGAGTCCTTTTATATTTTGGATATTAACACCTTATCAGAATTATCTTTGTAAATATTTTTTCCCATTCAATAGGTTGCCTTTTAATTTTGTTGGTTTCCTTTGCTGTGCAGTTCTTTGGTTTGATGTAGTCCTACTTAATTTTGGTTTTGTTGCCTTTGATTTTGGTGATTTTTTTTGTGGATTTGACACAAATGCAGTCTCAAGTTGCTTATTACCTTTGTTGTTTTCTTCTAGGAGTTTTGTGGTTTCGGGGCTTATGTTCAAATCTGAGTTAATTTTTGTGTATGGTGTAAAACAGTGATCCAGTTTCATTCTTTTGATATGGCTGTTCAATTTTCCCAGTGCTGCTTACTAAAGAGACTGTCTTCTCCCCATTGTATATTTCTGGCTCTGTGTCATAAATTGGGTTTATTCTGGGCTCTCTATTCTGTTCCATTGATCTATAGTCTTTTTTTTTTTTTTTAAAGATTTTTATTTATTTGTTTAACACAGAGCACAAGTAGGCAGAGCAGCAGACAGAGGGAGAGGGAGAAGCAGGCTCTCCGCCGAGCAGGGAGCCTGATGAGGGGCTCGATCCCAGGACCCTGGGATCATGACCTGAGCTGAAGGCAGCCGTTTAATGACTGAACCACCCAGGCGCCCCTCTATAGTCTGTTTTTATGCAATACTGTACTGTTTTGATCAGTATAGCTTTGTAATATAGTTTGAAATAAGACAATGTGATGCCTCCAGCTTTGTTCTTCTTTCTCAAGATTGCCTTGGCTATTTGGGGTCTTTGTGGTTCCATACAAATTTTAGAATTGTTTGTTCTATTTCTGTGAAAAATACCATTGGAATTTTGATACAGATTGTATCCAGTCTGTACATTGCTTTGGGTAGTATGGACATTTTAACAATATTAATTCTTCCAATTCATGAACACAGACTATTTTTCCATTTATTTTTGTCTTCTTCAATTTCTTTCATCAGCGTCCTAGTTTTCAGTGTAGAGGTCTTTCATCTCCTTGGTTAAATTTATTCCTAGGTATTTTATTCTTTTTGATGTAATTATAAATGGGATTTTCTTAATTTCTCTTCTGATTATTCATTAGTATATAGAAACACAACAGAGTTTTGTGTATTGATTTTGTATCCTGTAACTTGTTTAAATTTATTTGTTCTAATAGTTTTTTGGTAGTGTTTATTTCTTATATATAGTATCATGTCATCTATAAATAGTGACGGTTTTACTTCTTTCTTTCCAATTTGGATGTGTTTTATTTCCTTTTCTAGCCTAATTGCTCTGGCTAGGATTCTAATATTATATTGAATAAAAGTGGTGAGAGTGGGCATCCTTGTCTTGTTTCTGATCTTAGAGGAAAAGCTTTCTGCTTTTCACCATTAATGATGTTAGCTATGGGCTTGTCATATATAGCCTTTTTATGTTGAAGTACATGGTCTCTATACTTTATTGACTTTTTTTTTAATATCATAAATGGATGTTGAATTTTGTCAAATGCTTTTTCTGCATCTATTGCGATGATTATATGATTCTTATCCTTCACTTGGTTACTGTGGTGTATGATGTTGCTTGCTTTATGGAAGTTCAGCCATCCTTGCATTCCTGGAATAAATCCCATTTGATCATGGTGTATGAGCCTTTTAATGTACTGTTCAAGTCAGCTTGTGAATATTTTGTTGAGGACTTTTGCATCTATGTTTATCAGGGATATTGGTCTGTAGTTTTCTTGTGGCCTCCTTGTCTGGTTTTGTTATCATGGTAATACTGGCCTTGAAAAAGGAGATTCCAAGGGTTTGAGAAGGATCAGTATTAATTTTTCTTTAAATTGTATTTTTATTTAAGTAAGCTTTATGCCCAACGTGAGGCCTGAACTCACGACCCTGGGATCAAGAGTCATGTGCTCCACCAACTGGGCCAGCTGGGTGCCCCAGTATTAGTTTTTCTTTTTCTTCTTCTTTTCTCTTCTCTTTTCCTTCCTTCTTCTTTCTTTTTCTCTCTCTCTCCTTTCTTTCTTCTTTTCTTCTCTT